GCATTACTCTGTAAAGATCTTTGCTGTGCCCTTAATATATTTATTTAGAATCAGTAGAGATGCATGAATGTAAAAAAAAAAAAAGCTTTATTGAGCTATAGGCATATCCCATATAATATACCCACTTAAAGTATACACATTTCACTGGTTATTAATATATTCACAGAGACATACAACCATTACCACAGTCAGCTTTAGGACATCTTCATCACTTCAAAAAGCTATCCTAAGCCCTTTTGCTATCATCTCCCAACTCTATCCTCCCCAGCCCTAAAAAATCACTAACCTACTTTCTGTCTCTATAACTTTGCCTATTCTGGACATTTCATAAAAATCCTACAATATGTGATTTTGGTGACTGGCTTCTTTCACTTAGCACAATGTTTTCAAGGTTCTCCCATATTTCAGTACTTATTCTTTTTTGTGGCTGAGTAATATTCTGTTATATAGTTACCAGATTTTGCTCATCCACTCATCAGTTGATGGACATTTGGGTTGTTTCTGCCTTTTGACTAGTATGAATAAGTCGCTATAAAAATTGGTATACAAAGAACAAGGTAAATATATTTAATGCTACAGAACTGTACATTTAAAAATGGTTAAGATGTTAAATTTCATGTTTTTTACCACAATAAAAAAAGACAAATATTTGTGGAATGTCTATGTTACAGAATATTATATAGTTACTTAATATTATATTTTAAAAACCTATATGATAAACATAAAAAGATGCTTATGGTATAATCTTAAGTTAAAGTGATGTAAAAATCTCAAGTATTTCAAATACATAAAAATTTATAAAATATTTGTAAAGATGTTTGCTTCAATGTTAGAAGTGATTCACCTCAAGATGGTAGGATTATGAAAAGACCATTTATTTTTCTTTATATGTTTTTACAAAATTTATGAAATGGATATGTATATTATTTTTATAATCAATGAAGAAAAACATTAAAAGAAAAAAATGACCTATATAAAAAGAGTTTGGCAATAGCAGTCTTCTTGTAACACATATATTATCTCAGAATCCTTTCCATTAAAGAAATAATATACTATAAAGAAAAAAAATGTACAGTGTTTTGCATAGGTATGTGTTTTCATGTCTTTTGGATATATACCTAGGAGTGGAATTTCTGGGTCAAATGGTAACTTTATGTTTAATCATTTGAAGAACTGCCAGGCTGTTTTCCAAAGTGTCTGTATCATTTTACATGCCCACTAACAGGTTATGAGGGTTCTGATTTCTCCATCTCCTCACCAATACTTCTTCTTATCCATCTTTTTTATTATAGCTATCCTAGTGGATATAAAGTGGTATCTTACAGTTTTGATCTACATTTCCCTGGTAACTAATGTTGTTGAGAATCTTTTCATGTGCTTATTGGTCATTTGTATATTTACTCTGGAGAACTGTCTACTCATATTCTTTGCTCATTTAAAAAAATGCATTGTTTGCCTTTTGGTTGTTGAGTTGTAAGAGTTCTCTATATAATCTGAATACTAGACCTTTATCAGATACATAATTTGCAAATATTTTCTGGCATTCTGTGAGTTGTCTTTTCACTTTCTAGATATAATGTCCTTTGATGACAAAAATTTTTAATTTTGATAAGGTCCAATTTATCTTTTTTGCTGGGCTTTTGATGTCATATCTAAGAACACAGTGTCATGAAAATTTACTCTTGTTTTCTTCTAAGAGTTTTATAGCGTTAGCTCTTATGTTTTGGTCTTTGATCCATTTTAAGTTAGTTTTTGTATATGGTATGAGATAGAGTTCCAGCTTCATTCTTTTGCACATGGATATCTAGTTGTCTAGCACCACTTGTTGAAGAGATTGTTCTTTCTTCACTGAATGGTCTTAGCACCCTTGTCAGAAATCAACTGGCTTGTAAATATATGGGTCTGCTCTAACTTTTGGGATAACCATTTTCTTTCTCTTTGTTATCATTTTGTCCTATATATGTATTCTGTAAGCAATCTAGTTTACTGTGTTTTTGAACTTTATCTAAAAGGAAGCTTAAGAAATGTATTATTTAGTATGTTGCCTGTTTTATTTAATGTTATGTTCAGTCAATTCAAGGATTTGTATTACAATGAAGTTTGTTCATTCTCATTAATGTGTAACATTTCATTGTATGACTATACCAAATATCCATTTTACTATTGATAGATACTTGTGATGTTTTCAGTGCATCTAGTGATTCTTAAAAGTGTAATTATAGGAGTGATGAGTGGGGACATCCTTTCAGCAGACATTTTTGTTAGGTGAATAAGTGCATGATGGTACAGGGTGATTAGGAAAATTTTTTGATGCCCATAAACAGAGATGGATAGATAGGTAAGGCACATTCCCAGAAAATTCTGTGTGTACTCTTGTGGTTAAGCCTTATAGATATTTTCAGTTTAGACTCTGGCTGATCAGTAAATGGTGTTCTGTGGGCCTGATCGTCTGCCACACAGCCACACAGCCACACATGAGTTATATGTCACGTGTTTTCCCTCTTTGTATCAAATAAACCAGAAATCTTCCATGAGAAAAATGAAAGGAAAAATAGTAATTCCAAGTCTTTTACTCTGTAGGATTTCTTTCTGTTTTGTGTTGATCTACTAACCAGGCTTGTTTAGGCTTATTATTCAATGACCTAGTTTGAAATGAAGGAAAGAGAATATTAAAGGAAAAATGCAAATTTAGTAAGATCATATCCCAGTATAGACTGGAAATTCAAGTTCATATTAATATAAGAATAGAAAAATATCTTTATTATTTCTGCTAAATTATAGTTTAAAACTAGAGCTTAGAGAAAGTGTAGCTAAGTGTTACAATTATAGGGCATCTTTTTAGTGTTTCTTCTGTTCAGGTCAAAACGCTTTGATTATACCCTGTTTATGTAGATTGTTTAGCTTGCCCAGGCTTGATGAAAGGAATTAGGTGGGATCAGGATAGGGAAGTGCAGATACACTTGGTTTTCTTCCCTATTAGAGGGCTTAAGAGAATTGTTGGAGGACTTTAGTTGTGTGTCAGCATTTAGCATGACTAAGGAGGTTTTAACATTTGGGCAGCAGGGGGAGGATAAGATGATTTTTTTCCCATGCTAGAGTTTTGGAGTTCTCATTTAGAGTTGAGAGCAGAGCAAGCTGGAGGAAAAGCAGATTCATAGCAGTAGCTGTTGAAAATACTAGGCCATTACAGTGAATCTTTTACTCAGTTACCCTTTCTTATTTAATGTTTGTAATTTTTTTTGTCTTAGTCATTTTATATAGCACTCTTTCAAATTTACATTCATCCCCTGAATACTTATAATATTCTAGCACTCTATTTGTACAGCTAAGATTTAAAAATATGTGATGAGGATTAAAGGCATTAAGGAAAACAAGAACATACCTAGGAGAAATGTAGGGGGCCCACAGCCTCAGGGTGTGAAGTATATCATATCTGACAGTTTTATTTGTTTGTCCCTCTTTTGAATTGGGAAAAGGGAGGTGATTTACTTTGAATACCCATTGTTTCGTTTTGTTTTTAACATAAAGGTCAAAAGGGAATTAATAGAGGGGAACTGTAGGAAAATCAGAATGCACTTCCATATCTTTATCTCAGGAGTTACTAAATCTTCTTACGGAATTGAAGGCAGGGAGAGTCTTAGAGATTGCATGCTTAGTATGCCCATTCCAAGTTTCTGTGCACATTAAAATACATAAAACCTTTGAAAATGTAGGAATGTAATGGTCAACTATTAAGCCACGGATAGACGCTTTAATGTATTTACCCCAAATGCAGGAAAAGCCATGCTTCCCTTGTAGCCATGAAATTTATCTTCTTAAATAGAACCTTGTATTTATAGTTTTTCTGACAGTAAGCTACTCGTAAACGTTCATAATACAAATAATTGAAAACCATTTCTGCCTTGTTTCATGCTTTACTCTTTCCAAAAATGCTGAGTTACAAAATAAAATCTTAAATTAGGAAATTGTCAAAAACAGAAAGGGCTTCGGAGAGAATTTTTTTAAGTTCAAAAGAGTTTGGTTTATCGACTGAAGACAGTAATTTGCTTCCATTTTTGTTGCTGTTTTCTTCCATCAAGCAAATCTGTTTCGTGGTATTAAATCTTGTCTTATTCATCCATACTTACAGTCTCTTCCCATGACCAGAATAATGTTTTTATTAATGGCAAACTTGAAAAATAGTTAAATGATTTGCTTAGATGTTAAGGAAATCATTGGGCTGTAGTCCCATGCTGTACACAGTTGCCAGGGAGGGGAAAATGTCCCCCACCCGTCTTGGTTCTTTTGACTGATCTAATAATTAAATTGACACCAGACAGATGAACAGGAGACAAAAAAGAAAACAAATTGCATTTCATATGTACAGAGGTCTCATAGATATGGGACCTAAGAAGTGACCAGAGCAGGCTGTTTATATACCTTTTAAGACAAAGAAGCAATAAATTTGTGAAGAACTGACAAGTCAGATACCTAATCTCCCCTCTTAGAACTAGCTCCCAAGTAGAAGAAACAGACGTTTCACTTTTAGTTGGAATTTAGACTCTGGGAAGAGACCTGGATTAGGGTCTGGTTCTGCTGTTTAACCTTATGCACAGCTCTCAAGTCTGTTTTCTCATCTTCAAAGAATGAAATCTAATAGTGCCTAATTCATAGGGTTGTTTTGAGGAATAAGTAAAATAATGCATGTGAAATACTTAGCACTGTATCTGGAATATAATAAGTACTTAGCATGTTTTAAAAAAAAAAGAAATCCCTGCATGCCTCTTTGTCTTATCCTTTGGGTATTGTAGCTTCAGCATGTCCTCTGGTGTCTTAAGTGGCATTAAAGGATGGCAAGTCCTCCTGCAGTAAGTATGGGTAGCGTCTAGAAACTGACACTTTCCATAAGGCAGAGTTAATTGGCTCCAAATGACCCAAAGGAGTGGATACATGGAAAATATGAAATTGGATTTCCTCTTTATGTGTTTTCTTTTCTTTTCTTTTCTTTTTTTTTTTAATAGTGCCTTTGAAGATGAGACCTTGAAGCTTCGACAGCTGAAACTAGACAATCAGGTGAGTACAGTCTCCTGTTTTGAAATCAGTGGGCAGCCACACTGACCATGATGCCGATGGTCTTGATTCTGAAGTCTTGGCAGGGTTATGGGAAGAAAACTGGAAAGGAAGAGGCTCTGATGTTACTCACTGTCAGTGTCTGGAATTACTATTTGCTGAACCAAGGCCCTGGGCTGTGCAGAGACCAAAGCTCTTTGAGGACACCAGCAGTGAAACTGACCTTGGGTTTACAGTCACTGAAAATTCCTTGGCACCTTTCATAAGAATTAAAACAATGTTACCATTGTATTTCTGTGTAGTAAGTTGGTCCTGCTGCCTTAAATACCTATCCACACTGCAATTTCATTTAACTACAAGATTTATTTCCTTATCCTAAAACGCAGGTCTGAACATGCTGCTTGGTGCATAGAAAACTTCCATTGCCTACAGAATCATTTTCCTCAAGTACTGGTCCCAGTTCTTCAGTTACAGGTTTTTGTTTGCAGTGATTTGATTTATGTGTATTTCCTCTACTAGATTAGGCACCATGAGAACAGAAACCAAGTAGGTTTATGATGACCATTATATCAAAAGTTCCTGGTGTAGGGCTGGGCACAGAAGAATCCTACATTAAATATTTTAATGAAGGAAGGAATTTATGTTGTTATTTGCTATGGCCGTCATGGTTAGTCAGGTTAGAACCTTACCCAACATGTGTGGCTTTCATATTTGCTTTTTCACATGAATGTTTTCTCATTCAGGAAATCCTGTAGCTCTAGCCTACCTGTGTGGGATCATTAACAACATGTCTAGTCTCCATAGGTGACTAAAAATACCTCTAAAGTTTTGTTTTCTTTATATTCCTGTTGGAATTAATATTGGGACTTAGAGCATAATAAATTGCTTTAAAGATGGAGTCTTTGAAGACTAGGAGAGAGGTCTCTATGGAGCATGGAGGGTGTGTAGGACAACCCTCTATGTGGGGCGGGCCGGTGCTGGGGGACAGCAGGGCTGTAGCCCTTCAGGGCACCTTCCAAGCCCTTCAGGGGATGGCACTTAGTGGGAACTGCCATCGCATCCACTGCCCATCAGTTCACCAGATGAAGGGGCCCAGCATCCCCAGCGCCTGGAGGGGAGTGTCGCCCTGTGGTTCTCAGGGATCCACTATGGGCAAGCCTGTGCCACGTATGCACCTTCGGGGACAAGGTGGCAGTGATTGCCTCCACGGTTAGCAGCGCCATCGCCCTGATGATGGCCATGCCCCCTGTTCCCACCTGCTACTTAGTGGAGAGGTGAAGAGGGAGGAGCAAGCCACCGTGCAGCAGGTCTGGAGCAGTGGGGTGGGAGGGCATGTGGCAGCCAAGCTTCCCCACCCCTCCGGAGGCCACCAGAGGGCCGCTTGGACAAGGACCATGGGCCCAGTACCCTGGGCCCCAGCAGCCCACAGGCTCTCCCAGTGCTCAGATGACAGCGCACGCTGACCTCACCTGCCTTCCCGCACGCGAGGACCTGGACTGCCTAACCCCCACACTGGGACGGCCAGGCCCACGCCACTGGCTGGTCACCTGCATCTCGACATGCATTCATATGGAGATTGGCCAGTGAAATCCACTTCTGGGCTTAGGGATCCCCAGGGCGTGCCATTGCTAAAGGCTGGGGACCCCAGCGTGGGTGACCTGCCTTGCAGGAGCCTGGCTGTAGCGGTTTACATAGTAGGCTTCTTTGAACCACTGTTGAGGTTAAAGTACTGCCTGCAGCCTCCCTGCAACCTGCTTCCTTTAAAGACGTGGGGGACATTGTAAGCAAATTTAGCTTTGCATAGAAGAGCACAAGGGCAGCAAACTCTGCAGTTACTAGAGGCTGCCAGCATCTCCCCCCGCAGGGCGTGCTGCCTCCGAGCAGAGACCCAGCTGGGGTTCTCCTCCTTCTATCTAGAAAGTTGTCTGGAAGGGGTTGAAATAAGCAATTCTTTCTAATGTTGAAAAAAAAAAACTAGGTCAGAAATTAATCTTCCTGGGGTCACGGGGAAAATTCTGATATATGTATTACCCTCCCTCTCTAAAGACTGGAATAATTGGGATGAGCCCTTTATTTTCTGCATTCTGTTGCATAACAAACTGTATTTAGGGGTAAAACTCACAAAATTTTAGGTCTTAGATTTATTTTTATAAGGCTAAGTGGTTCATCCCCTGCTAACATTCAAAATCTGAGGTCATTTACCAAGTAATAATGTAAGGCGTACGTTTTTGAATTTTGTATGTAAATATATTTTGTTTTTTTTAAAAGATGGCCTAAAATTTTTATAATTTTTATTATTTTCAGTGAAAATCCTACATGTGGTATGTATGTGGTATTCAGGATTTTGTAAGCCTTTTTATAGTACAATTGAAAAAAAATGTTTTTTTTTTAGGTAATAAAGCATATGGTAAGAATTCAAATAATACCAAAAAGGTGAAAAAAATGAAAAGTCTCTTCCCCTGTACTTGGCTTAGTTCCTTACCAGTGGCTGTCACTGACTTCTGATGTATCCTTCCAGAAATAGTCAATGAGTTTAAAGACATAAAATTTTATAGACTTTTTTTAAAATTCAAAGATCTCTTTGGACCTGATGTATAGCTGTTGGTGTTAAATAGCACATGAGAATAGTCTTAGAGCCTTGAAGTGCTGGGTGCACAGGAGGAGGCTACTCAGCAGGGTGGGAGGGAAGTTCTGTCATGCAAGCTGAGCATAACAAGCAGCACCACAGAATGAATTTAGACATGGGGCTGAGAATCAGAACACTGGTTCCTTTCTAGCCGCCATTAAATGTGATTTTTGGTAAGATCCATGGATGCTATTGGGCCCCAGTTATTTAATCTGTAAAATGAGGTCAGCCAGAGTAAAATAATAGAATGCTAGAAAGGATCTTGGCATTGCAAAGTGAGAGAGGGCTGAGGTGGAGGTATAGAGAGGACAGCAAGGTTACTGCTAGGTCTGGGCTCATAGGCTGGCAGTGCCTTGGTGGGAGGCTGACAGTCCAGGGCATGCCAGCCTGCCAGAGGGCTGCGGTGCACTCCCATCGGTGACAGTGGCCTACTGTGGCAGTGGTTGTCAATGGGGGTTGGAAAGGCTGGGGGACCTCACTCTCCCCACCCGCTCCTGAGACATGGAGTAGATTAACCTCTTAGGAATTCTGCTGTGGGAATGTCCTTAATGGTTGAGAGTCACTGGTCCTGAGTTTTGCTGGATATGAAACAATTTGCTAAGAGTAACCAAAACAAAGTTGATCGATCAGTCTCATGAGGATTGATTCATACTAACCAATGTAATAAGTGATTAATCTAAATCAGGGGATTAATTTATTAATTGGTAGTGAACTGTATACCACAATCAGCTGGGTATCACATTCCTATTAGAGAAGTCTGTGGGAAGTTGGCGATCAGAAAGCAGCCTGGTAATGTGAAATCAGAGCAAGCTGGATTTGTAAAATGATTTTATGATAAATATCATCGTATGATGGTATAATTAATTCACCTCTACAACGGATATACCTGCCAATGGAATGAGATACATGAGTATCTGACCAGGACAGTCCCTCCTTGAATAGTGCTAGAGACACAAGGTAAATCTTGTTCTTTATTTCTACCTTACTGTATTCCACACAGACCATTCCCTTCTCTTAACTCTTTCTTTATCATCCAGTTTTCAGTGTCATTGATTAGATGAGTTTCTTTCATAGCTGTCCTGTTTTCCTGATAGTATAATCTTAGAATTTAATGTTTAAAAATCCTAGCTTTTTAGATAACTTACACATGGCTATTTTTGTCCTATATAGATATTTGAGGAGTTTTATTGAGATATAATTCACATACTATAAATATACACCCAGTTAAAGTGTATAAATGATTTTTAGATCTAATATGATATATGGAATTATATGTAGTCTTTTGTGTCTGGCTTTTTTGACTTAGCAAAAGGTTCATCCAAATTATAACATATATCAGTTCTTCATTCTTTTTATTGTTGAATAGCCTCCCTATTTGTGGATATACCACATTTTGTTTATTCATTCATCAGTTGATGGACATTTGGGTTGTGCCACTTTTGGGCTATTACAAATAATGCTGCTCTGAACATTTGTGTACAAGTTTTTGTGCAGGCAGGTTTTCACGTCTCTGGGGCAGTATACCTAATATACCTTGGGTAATAGGAGTGGAATTGCTGGATCATGTGGTGACTCAATGTTTAACGTTTTAAGGAACTGCCAGTTTGCTTTCCTGAGTTACTGAACCATTTTACATTGCAGTAAATGAGGCTTCCAGTTTTTCCACATCCTTGCCAACACTTACTGTCTGTTTCATTGTAGCTGCTTTAGTGGGTATGAGGTGGTATCTCATTGTAGTTTTGATTTACATTTCCCTAATGACTAGGGATGTTGAGCATTTTTTTGTGTACTTAGTTGTTATTTGGATGTCACCTTTGGAGAAATGCCTTTTGTACATTTTTAAATGGGCTTATTGCCTTTTTGTTGTTGAGATGTAAGAGCCCTTTATAGAGTCTAGATCCAAGTTCCTTATCAGGAATATTATTTGTAAATATTTTCTCCCGTTTTGTGATTTGTCTTTTTACTTTCTTGATGGTATCATTTTCACCACAAAAGTTGTAATTTTTTTCTTTTGTCACTTATACTTTTGGTGTCACATCTAAGAAACCGTTGCCTACCCAAGGTTATGACGACTTACTCCTATGTTTTCTTCTAAGGGTTTTACACTTTCTATGATCTGTTTTGAGTTATTTTTATATATGGTATGAGATGGGGGTTCATCTTCATTCTTTTCCATGTGGATATCCAGTTGTTCTAGCACCATTTATTGAAAATTCTTCCCCATTGAGTATATATTGCTTTTATTTTTACAAGTTTCACTAGGGTACTCACATTTTCAGGGTATATGTAGATACCTCAGCCTGGCTACAGAATGTAAAGATTTTTAGATTCTGCCAGTGGTGTCACTCAGACTTGAGTGCCCGTTAGGTAGAGAACATTTATGCCATCTGGTGGACAATGGATTAAAATACAGCATGAGCCCTTTGGGTCAGGTTGCCTGTCCATTTGTACATACCCTTCGTCAGTGCATTGAATTGGTATTTTAAGAAGTCTCATTTAAAACTTTTATCTTCCTATGATCTTACTTTTTGTGCCAGGAAGGTTAGTTATTTTTAGTCAAACTGATAGACCTCAGGCAACCATATTCTGATCTTGCTGGTCATATCGTGTGGTCAACCAGTCTGTTCCAAGGTTGTCATGATGTATTGTAACCAGCCCGTGATCTCTAAAGAGTCCTTGGAAAATTGAGAATCACTGAAGCCAAGCTGTCATTAACTTGAGGCTTGCCTGAACTTTATTATTTTACTGAATAAAGCCCTTTGATGGAAATTTTCCCCCATCTAATTTCCTTTATTTTCTTACTTATTTTGACTCCACCATTAGATATTTTGCCCCCAAGTAATGATAGTAGGACATACCACCAGATTCTGGAGAAGATGGATTCTTTGAGTTATTGTTCAGTTTCCAAGGGAATTTGGAAAATGAAAGATTTGGTTTATGTGACAATAGTCCTGAAGGCAATAAGTTTTAATTTTTGTTTAGGTCATCAAAACAGTCACCTCTGGCTCTCTTCCTGACTCTTCCTGTTTATTCAGCCTCATTTCAAGCATTCTTAGCTTTTCATAGAAGATAAAATATAAATGAAATATGAATTGATTTTGTTACATTGAAATTTAATTATTGCTTCTCTTCTTCCCCATCCAAACAATGATTAGAATGTTTTCACCAAGAAGTCAATTTGTCCACATGTAGGTATTTTATGATTTTTTTCTTAACTATAGGATTGGACAGTAGTAGGTATTCGATGCTATGAAGTAGGAGCTGTGGTCCTGAAGTTCACAGTTTGAATCTACAGTTACTGTTTTTCTTAAGTCGTTGATCTAAATGAATTTGGCTGGTATTAAAGTTGACAGAGAAAGGCTTCACTTGGTAGGATACTGTGACCAAGAGCCTAGGCCGTCCCTTACAGGTCTAAGCACTTGGTTGTGTCAGTGAACCCAGAGGTAGCCAGGTCTTTTGGCACAAACTCACACTAGTCACACTTAAAACGGTTAGTTATGAGATCAGACACAAATGTGTTAATTTACAATGAGAACTCTAACTCCCCCAGTGTGCATTCATCTCTACTGTTCATGGTTCCCTATTCCTGGGAATATGTTGTTTAAGAAGTTGAACTGAAAGTTAGAAGGCTGATTGGTAAGCAAAGAATCAGAGGAAATGAAATAGTCCCAAGGGATATTTCATCAAGGCCATAAAAAGCCATATCTAGTTTCCTCTCCTCAGGAGAGTAAGAGTCATCTCTCCCAATAAATAGGATACTCTTGTCTACCAGATTCAGTATTTCTCCTTCTTGGACAGGCTGCATCAACTGTGACAAATTCTTGCTCTTTGGCTCCCTTTTTCCAGACCACAAGTAGTACATTCCTTTTCGATAGAATATTTTTCTTTGCATATGTTAAAAGATGGATTAGCTATAGCTTTTGTTTCTGTTTCATCAATTGTTTCACAGTTATGAGCTATTTAAGACTAAATAGCTGTGGCTACATTGGTAAGATGTGGCAGTTTCTCATGTCTTTATACTTTATGTTTATCATCTCTTTGGGCAGGTTACTCTGTATGCATTATACAAGACTTCCAAGTTGCTAGAACAACCTTATCAACAAATTGTATGGGGATCACCTCATCATAGCCCCTCATGTATTTAGTGTTCCTGGTACACTAAGGTTCATCTATTCATATTAATTTATGAATCTTAAAATAATCCCCAGACCCCAATTTTTCCTTCCCAACTTGCTCTAAGCTCCTTATTCATTTTTGATGGTATGGTCTATTTCGGCACATTATCTTAGCTCCTAGTCTTTCCCCTAATACACAAGGTTGGGTAAAAAAGAATAGTTCTATTTCTTTGTGTCTTCTGAATTTATCTGTAAGCTTCCATCAGCCCAGTTGAGGAAAAACACACTTCCTTTCCTACTAATAGTCTCAATTCTTGGGGTAACCCTCCTTCTTAATGGTAATGTCAGGATCAATGAGAAAAAGTAGATGCTTTTTGCCTAAGAAACAATAAAGTAGGTGATAATATTTTTGCTTTTAAATCATGGCTTAATTTTTTAGCTTGGGGCTTGGCACTTTCCTATTCTAAGATAATCCCAGACCCATAGTACTTTCTGTGTATTATAAACTTTCTTATTTGCCAAAGCTTAAAAATAGTATATGTGCTAGTACCTTCCTATTTATCTTGGATTTTTTTCTCGTAGTGTCTCATGCTTTTCCTGACTTTCTTGCTACCACATTCTTTATTTTGCTTTTACCCGTAGAGTTGATTGCTTCCTCTTTGGAATGTTCCAACTGCTATTTTCTTCTCTTACCCTTGGCTCTAATTTGTCTGATTTATAATTACATAAAAATGAGCAAGAAAGCAAAACTTACTCCTCTTTAGCTGATTAAAACATGAAAGTAATTTGAGGTTTACATGATAAGTTTTTTCCTTCCAATTACAAAAGAAAATTTAGAAAATGTAGAAAACTAGGAAGAGGAAAATAATCATCCATTTTCTGCCACCTTTACACTTCTTTCGCCTTTTCCCCTATTCATAAACTTTTACATTCTTTAAACTGGTGATTATACTTTGATAACATTTTGATAATTTCTATATGTATTTTAAATAGACTTGGATCATGGCATCAGCTTGGCTAGAAATGCATTTGTATAACTTTAAATAGATCTTTACAGGTGTTAAGTAAATATTTATTAAATGAAATGAATGAATCCTTGCCCCTGTGCCTCAATGTTCCCATTTAAGTGGCAAAAATTAATCTACAAGATGAGTGAAAAATGGCTGTAATACCACATTTTTTTTCCTAGCGAGCACTGCTAGAGAAGAAGCAGAGAAAAAAGCGCCTGGAGCCACTCATGGTACAGCCAAATCCGGAAGCCAGGCTGCGTCGATCAAAGCCAAGAGGTAGTGAGGAGCAAACTCCTTTGGTGGAACCTCATGCCCCACACAGCAATGTCATCCTACATGGTGTGTGTTTAGGCAACATTTCCTCCTTTGCAGGTACAGTTTTCACAAACCTAGAAGAAGGCAGGAGGATTCTCAGATGGGTGAAAGGGACAACAGTAACATTATTACTAAGTACTTTTGTGAATTTTTATAATTACAATCTGGGTCTTTGAGTTAGGATGAAAGCAGTGGTCTGATCTTAAAGTTCATGTCTATCCTATAACTGTTGTTTTGATGCCGAATGATATTAGTCCAGAATGGCGGGTTGGAGGTGCTTACACTCTTGATTATGACATCATGGCAGAGTTAATCATGAAGCCAGGAGTAGGTCAAGAGCATCCATTCTTTCAGTAGGTAGGACCCAAAGGGTCACCTGAGATGGTGATGGGGAGAAGGAAGAGTACGATTAAGGGACTCTAAATCAAGCCCTCTGAGCTTTTGGTTTGGACAGGTCTGAACTTTAGAGAACCTAACTTTTGTTTTTATGGTCTCATTCTTAAGTTTTTAAAGCACAACATCATGTACATTTTACTTCAGTAACAGAGCATGTGAATAAAATGAACACCTGTCCTGAATTACTCTTAAGAAATGTCCTCATGGATGTTAAGGAAGGAAAAATGAAGTAGTTTGGTGGTTCTTAATTCTGATGACATACAGCAAAACCACCCAGCTGAACAGTAGATAACACTTCCTCTTTTCTCTTTAGGCATTGATGGTCCAGCTGCCTTCCCGAGGCCAGATGCTCAAGATTTGGAAACAAAACTTCACGTTCTCTCGGTAGGCCCTTCTGCTGCAGAAGAGAGTACTGAGAGCAGTGCTGGTGGGGAAAGCACTTTGGATACTGCCTCCAAGCCAGATCTTCAGGAGATTCTCCAGAAACATGGTGCGAGCAGGGAACGATTTTAAGGCCAGCAGTCATCTTAGTAATTTATGATCTTGCCCTTCCTTCCTTTCATTATTGGTTAGCAGTCTAGATGACTCACATTGCTTGTAATGGGGCTTATGGCTTTACAGAGTGACAGGATGGGCCTCTTTGACACCTGAGAATTGGTCATTGTCAACAGTAATAGTATTTATCCTATTGCCTGAGAAAAGTAAGATAACTAAGTCAAGTATAAAGAATGAGCATTAGCTGCTATATATGACCATGTCTTTCCTTTTGACATGTTATTTTTAGTTCCTACCCTCTTCCTTTGACAGAGTTGCCACTTAACACCCCTACTCTGCCTCCATTTCACAGTTATATTGATTCAGTGATGAGGGAAAAGAAAAGTAGCCAGCTGAATGGAAAATTGGATCAAAATATGTCTAAGCTAATACTTTTTCCAACAGATCCCACTTTCTGCCAGTTGGAGTTATCCTTCCATAAACAGTCTACATTTCAGAAGTCCCTTGTGGTCTTCTTTCTTTCTTAGGAAAATTAATTTTATAGTGAGAAGAAATCAAGTGTCCCCTTTTCAGATGAGAAGACTTGAAGCTCAATAATGAATAAATATTTATTGGGTGCCTACTTCGAAGTAGGTGGGCATTGCAAGGTCCTGGTATATATGAACCAGGAGATTCTACCACAGAACGGTAGACTGGAGGTACATTCTAACAAATTCATCCATTCCTCTATTTACAAGATGTGATTGCGTATGCTCAGTACTGCCTATCAGGCATTGTGGGCACTTAGGGTCCAGCAGCAAACAAGACTCCTGCCCTCATGGGGAGTCTTTTCTAAGTGAGGCTTCAGGCACAGAAATAGCTATAAGAGCACGGAGAGGGGTACCTAAGCCAGAGCTGAAGGTTTGGGAACCTTCCCAAAGACAGTGACGTCTAAGCTAGAGCTGGACGCGAAAAGAGGAGCTAGAATTCAGAACATGGGAAGAGCTAGGAGTTCAGGATGGCTGGAGCTCTGAGTTGGGGTGGTGAGATGGAAGGGGAACGCAGAGAGATGGGCCTGGAGAGGTAAGCAGGCTCTTAGTATGTAGGACATTCTAGGCCATATTAGGAATGTGGACTGTGTCTGAGGGAAATAGGAGCCTATTAGGGGATTTGAAGCAGAGGAGTGAGGTCATCAGGTTTGGGCTGTAGAGAAATTACTCTGGGGGGAGTTTAGGAAGCAGGAAAATTCACTGGGAGGTGGCTGCTGATGGCCTGACCTAGAGTTATCATGTGACGTATTCAAAAGTGAGAAACGAGGAGGAAGAGAATTTTACTGCCAGGGTGATGGGAAGGGACGAGAAAGGCTCGAGAGGAGGTGGCTGACTGAGCTAAGCTGTGAAGGCTGCATGTCATCATGTGCCCTGCTGTCATCTGGGGAGGCAGCTTGAGACCGACATTTGGAAAGTCTTGTATGTCGGCATTCAACATACATTACCTCAATTTAATAATTGTGACAGGACATAGAGGGTTTTATAGGTATTAGTCTCTCCATTTCACATATAAGAAAATTAGTTCCCAGAGAGGCTAAGAGCACACTGCTAGTCAGGTGGCAAACTTGGGCAGAAGAAATAACGTGCAAAGGCATCAGTTATAAAAAGCAGGATGTGTTGATGCAAACGGGGGCAGGTGAGAGAGTGCAGGTTGGTGAAGGGGGAGTGGGAAAATGGATTTGAGCGGGCCTGGGGCCACTTGCTTGGTTTTGAATTTCAACTCTGCCACATCTGGGAAAGGGGAAAACAACTTAACTTCCTTTGCCACAGTTTCCCTGTGTATATCAGTGTGATCATGGTACTGTTGCTTTACTACCACTCCTGCGACAGTAGAGGAAAGTGAGAACTAAGGAGGAGTCAGAGCACAGAGAACATTCGGTTACCCCGGTTCATCCAGCTGAAGAGTGGCAGACCTAGACTTTTGCTTCTTCGTCTGGTTCCTTACCCTGTATGTAAATACCAAGCTGTCCCCTTGCCCCATGAAGCAGTCTCCTGGCTGGCAGGATCGCCCTTTCATGGCCACATGGATTGATGCCTGTTCACATCTCAGCAAGTTGCATCTTGCCCATAAAACCCACCAAGTACTCTATTGATTGGGACCTAAGAAGTCATTTTGGCAGATTATGTCCCTAAAGTTGGTCCAAAGTGCTTGTCTTACAAGTTTGGGAGAAATCTTTGATCTCCATCTTAAGACATATATTTATACAAACTGAGTTGTTGGTATAAAAATAGCACTTGAAAAACAGTTCTAAGGGAAGATATCCATGTGATGGTGGGATCCCAAGAGTTTTATGCCTTTTTGCTACCAAAAAAAGTAACATTTTAGAAAACAAAAGAAAAAATGTCCTTCACAAACCAAAGAATTTCTAAAATAATAGCTTATTGAGATGTAATTCACATACCATATAATTCACTCGCTTAAATGGAACAGTTAATCGATTTTTAGTATATTCGTAATTCACATACCATATAATTCACTCACTTAAATGGAACAATTAATCGATTTTTAGTATATTCACAGAGGTCTGCAGCCATCATCAGAATCAATTTTAGAACATTTTCACAACCCCAAAAGGAAACCTCATGACTGTTAGGAATCACTTCCTGTTGCCCACTGACCCCTCCGTTCTAGGTAATTGCCAGTCTTTTATCTTCCGTTGCTGTGGATTTCTCTGCTCTGGGTGTTCTGTATAAATAGCACTTTGTCCTTTATGAATGCCCTCTTTAACTTAGTACATGCATGTTGTAGCATGTGTCCTACTTCATTCCATTTATTGTTGCATGTCATTCCATTGTGTGGATACGCCACATTTTGTTTGTGTTTTCATCACTTAATGGACATATGGGTTGTTTCCATTTCTGGCCCATAAGAGTAATATTGCTATGAACATTCATATCTAAGTTTTCTGTGGACATAGGTTTTTACTTGAGATTAATTTCTTCACTGGCCTTTGTCTTGTCCTTGAATGTCCTTGAGAAAGGTTAGTACCAGTTTATTTGCAAACTGTGTAAAAATAGATCACAGTTGTCTCTGCTCTGAGATTGAATGTGGACAGGAAATGGTTTGGAGGCAAAAGCCACACTGATTGTTGTTAAGTATAGTGGTAAATTCATGATTTGGGGGCACTTCAACTTTTATATGAGGGATAACTTCACCCCTAAAGACTAAAGAAAAAAGGGAATTTAGTTTTGGTCTTAGCTCTGCATCTTCCTTTTGGACAAATAATTCTCCTTGAGCCCCATACTCTCATGTGTGAATTTGGGTACCATACTTCTTTTATAACAGATACTTTATTTTATGTCTGTGTTCCCTCTTCAGATATGTTCCATAAACAAGTAGGCAATGAAACAAAAAATAAGATTACAAGTATCCTCCTCAAAACTCATATAAATGAGAGGATAAAATGAAAAGATAGTTTTTAATTAAACAGTTTTTTATTTTCTGTAAAAGGTACATCATAAATCCAAGGTGGTAGTATTTCAAACATTCCCAACTCAAATTAGTTAACTAGACTACAGATGAACAAAGTTCAGGAATACAGAAAAGTAACTGAGAGAGAACAATGGATTGATTTTTTTGTCTCGTGGTAAAACATACATAAAAGTTACTATTTTAACCATTTTTACATGTACAGTTTAGTGGCATTAAGAATGTTCACATTGTTGTACAACCATCACCACCATCCATCTCCAGAACTTTTTCATCTTTTCAAAATAAAACTCTAACTCCCATTAAACAGTAACTTCCTTTTCTCCTCTCCACCTGGCCCCTGGTAACCACTATTCTACTTTATGTCTCTATGAATTTGACTATTCTAGCTTTTCATGTAAGTGGAATCATACAGTATTTGTCCTTTTCTGCCTGGCTTTTTTCACTTAGCATAATGTCTTCAAGATCCATCCATGTTGTGACATGTATCAGAACTCCATTCCTTTTTAAAGTTAAATGATACTCCATTGTGTGTATGTACCACAGCTTCTCTCTTCATCAGTTGTTGGATATTTGGGTTGTTTCCACCTTTTGGATACTGGGATTAATGCTGCTCTGATCATTGTGTACCAGTATGTGTTTGAGTCTCTACTTTCAGTTCTTTTGGGTGTGTACCCAGAAATGGAATTGCTGGGTCATAAGGTAATTCTGTATTTAATTTTTTAGGAGCCACCATACTCTTTTCCACAGAGGCTGCACAATTTTACATTACCATCAGCAGTGTGTGAGGATTCCAGTTTCGCCAACACTTTCTGTTTTTTGATAGTAGAAATCCTGATGCTTATGAGGTGGATCTCATTGTGATTTGGATTTGCATTTCCCTAATGTCTAGTGATGTTAGGCATCTTTTCATGTGCTCATGGTCTATTTATGTATCTTCTGGAGAAATGTCTATTCAAGACCTTCACCAGTTTTTGAATTGGGTTGTTTGTTTTGTTGTTGAGTTGTAAGAGCTCTATGTATTCTGGATATTGATTCCCCATCAGACATATGATTTGTAAGTATTTTCTCCCATAGACATAATGTCTTAAAGAGCTAAATAAACAGTGGCAACAGTGGAAAGGGAAAACCAGGGAGGGAGCCAAATGAGAATATAAAGAAAGAATTGTCAAAATTTGGATAAAATAGCCAGGTTTTAGGTTAGGATAGCTTGGAATGTTATAAGCAAGAAAATTTATGTTACCTTTGGTTCAAAGATTTCTTTTTTAAGCCAGCATTGAGTGTTTTTGACAGTTGTCCATTTTCTCTCAGGTATCTCAGGTAGTTTGAACTTTGATGAGGAGGAAACTGATGGGGAGGAAGAAGAAGGAAAACAATTAAGATCTCATTCACTACATTCGGAGGCAGAGAGACCCAATTCTGCATCCAGTCAGAAGTCCACCACAGTATGTAATTCCGAAGTGTCTTTCTTCGGGGCTTATATATTTCCCAAACAGTCTTCAGTATTTAAATACCATTTTCATCTTTTCAAAATAAAACTCTAACTCCCATTAAACAGTAACTTCCTTTTCTCCTCTCCACCTGGCCCCTGGTAACCACTATTCTACTTTAAGAAGTCCACCACAGTATGTAATTCCGAAGTGTCTTTCTTCGGGGCTTATATATTTCCCAAACAGTCTTCAGTATTTAAATACCATTTTCATCTTTTCAAAATAAAACTCTAACTCCCATTAAACAGTAACTTCCTTTTCTCCTCTCCACCTGGCCCCTGGTAACCACTATTCTACTTTATGTCTCTATGAATTTGACTATTCTAGCTTTTCATGTAAGTGGAATCATACAGCTCCTTTGAAAGATTTAAGCTCACATTTAGACTTCAAGTTCACAGCCTCTCTAATTCTTTGTCTTAAGCCAGTTATGGTGATGCTATATCCCATTTTTGTACTTAACTCCTTCACTGCTCCCAGTATTCATATACTTATTTAACTTCTCAGTTTCCTCTTATTTTGTCAGAAGACTGAAGACATAGGGGTAAATCAGTAAGTCACTTTGTCCATTAAGTGTTTCTTGAAGAGAACATGAGTTTTTCTGACCCAGCCTTCTTGCTCATATGTGGCTGTTCTTTCAGGACCCAGGAGCGTCCCGTACTGCAGCCCAACAAGCTGATAACCAGCTGGGAGAAGTGGAGAATTTAGAGGACTTTGCATATAGTCCTGCCCCTCGCGGTATCACAGTCAGGTGTCGCATTACCAGGGATAAGAAAGGAATGGATCGGGGTCTGTTCCCCACTTATTACATGCACTTGGAAAAGGATGAAAATCGGAAGGTATGAGAATTTATCTTTAAGACAGATCTTGAGATGCAGGGAGGCATGTTGTGTGAATAGCTTGCTGACCGGTCTTACAGGGGAATAGTACTGGTTTTAGACCAAGTCACCTGGAAGCCGATTGTGCTTATTAATTCCCAGGGATTCTCCCTGTCATCAAAGAGCTCATAGTATAATGACAAAACCTACCCCCACCCCAAAGAAAAAGGGTTTTATCCAGAATGTAAGAAAATGGAAGAGAATATTTGAATGTAATTGTTTTCACTTCTATCCATTTACTGTGTACTTTGGTTCTATTTATATTGTGGTAGAACATGGCATATGGAAGAGGGAGCATGTTTTAGGGAATAGGAGGAATTAGAAATCTAAACACATAAGTGAAATGTCTTGTTTGTCACTTTGGAAATTAATTTACTTTATACATAAGTTTGAGGTAATTTAATACTTGCTAATGAACAATGTATTTGTATAGCTGCCAGGTCTAAGTGGATGATTTTAAGAGGCTAGAAATGAGGTGATGATAGTAGGTATCATTGCTATAACCACTATTTATTGTTTACAACATACCCATTTTGTGCTAAGTGCTTTTTATATCTTATCACCTATAATCCTTATAACAACCTTGTAAGATAAAATTTCTTCTCCCTGCTTTACGGAGAATGACTATCTGCCCCAGTTAACACTAATGAGCGGCAGAGCCAGATTCAAACCCGTATTTGTTTGATCTCAAAGTCCCCTCCTTAGCTCCTGTCACATTTCTCCTTCCCTGTTACTGTTCAAGCCTAGAAGGGTTTAGGAAGGATGCATAAATATGACAGTATTCATGTCACTGAAGTCACAGGGGTTTAAAACAACAGAATACACAAAGAAGTGTTAGGAAAGCAGGTGCAGTAAAGAATGGGAAAGGTGGGTATTCAGGATTCCGTCTCTCCTAAAGTTGGAAAGACTCTTCCTCATGGGATTGGATGGCTTTTTTTAAAAAAGTCACTGGAGGTTTTAGGTAAAGTTGTGTATAAAGTAATCTCCCTGACCTATCATCAGAAGGGCAACAGTAGCCTAACACATGTCATGCATGGTACCTACGTCATTCACCTCACTTCATCACATCACATAGGCATTTTATCATCTTACATTATCAAAACAAGGAGGTTGAGTATAGTACAGTAAGATATTTTGGGAGAGAGAAGGAGAGGGACCACATTCACATATCTTTTATGATAGTAGATTGTTATGATTGTTCTATTTTATTATTAGTTATTGTTAGTCTCCTATTGTGCCTAATTTATAATTTAAATTTTATCATAAGTAGGTATATGTATAGGGAAAAACAGTATTTGTAGGGTATGTGTCTATCCACAGTTTCAGGCATCAACTGAGGGTCTTGGAATGTTCCCCCAAAGATAAGTGTGGCTACTGTATATGGAGAATCAAAACTAGCGAATTTAGAAAAGTTGTACAGAAGAGAAACCCTGATAGTGAATTCTGAGAAGCATTATTAGGGTTAGAAAAAGGGATGAAGACACAAAGATTGGTCTTCTCTGAGAAGACAGCACATGCCGTTGGACCTGTTGCTGCAGGAGGGCCCTGGGGTGGGGGGCCACAAGTCCTCACCTGAGGCTTCAGCAGTGGTGGGCAGGGTGGGGGTCAAGGCTGAAGGGCTGCTGGCAGTGGGGTGGAGCACTAGGAGCAGAGGCCCCCACCAAACTGGATGCCTGGTCAAGTACACGAAGAGCAGGTCCCTCGAGGAGGAGATGAATCTGTTCTGCCTGCCAATCAAGGAATCTGAGATCATTGATCATTTTCTGGGCGGGGAGGGGTTCCCTCAAGAACAAGGTTTTGAAGTTAATGCCTCTGCACAAGCAGACCCACACTGGCCAGTGGACCAGGTTCAAGGCATCTGTCACCATTACAGATTACAACTGGTATGTTGGTCTGGTATTAAATGCTCCAGGGAGGTCGCCACTGTCTTCTGCGGGGCCATCATCCTGGCCAAGATCTCTATGGTTCCAGTACAGCGAGGCTACTGGAAAGCAGACTGGCAAGCCCCACATCATCCCTTGCTGGGTGACCAGCCGCGGCATCATGGTCCTCATCCCGCCCCAGGGCCACTGGCATCCCCTCAGCCATCTCCAAGTGACCGCTGCACCCAGGCCTGGGGCTGCACTGCCACCCTAGGCAGCCACACCAAGGCTACTTTTGATGCCATCTCCAGGATCTGCAGCTCTTTCATTGCTGACCTCTGGAAAGAGACCATGTTCACCAAGTTTCACATCAGGAATTCATGGAACAGCTTGTTAAGACCCACTCGAGAGTGTCTGTGCAGAAGACCCAGGGCTCCGACTGGCCATCACACAGTTTTCATACAAGAAAAATTAAAGTGAATTAAGCCTGTTAAAAAAAAAAGACCCAAAGATTTATTGCTTGGTACATCATAGACACTACTAAACATTTGCTAAATGAACAGGCAGAACAAACTATGGTGGTTTTCTTGACTTCATTTTTGACTGATATTTTTTTCCTTTTTCCAGGTATTTCTTCTTGCAGGTAGAAAGCGGAAAAAAAGCAAAACATCGAACTACCTTATCTCCACTGATCCAACAGATTTATCTCGTGAAGGGGAGAGTTACATTGGCAAACTCAGGTGAGCGCAGCCTTGTATGACTGTCCTGTTCTTTCTGATACATTTACCCTGTGGTTTCAGAACAATCCATATCTTCTTTACAATGAGCCTGTACTGAAGCTGTAATGTCAAAAAAAAAAAGGAAACTCACAGATACTCATCCTTTCCTTATTGTAATGAGATCTTTCAGAAAGTGATGATGGATATTTATTTGGAGAACTGGCAGGCTCTGTTCGGCTACAGTCATCTCCTAGATTGAGTTTGTGTAAGAGAAGAAATATAGATCGTTATACTTTTTCTCTTGATTCTAGATCTAATCTCATGGGGACCAAGTTTACAGTCTACGACCATGGCGTCAGCCCAGCCAAGGCCCAGGGTCTGGTAGAAAAGGCCTACACCCGGCAGGAGCTGGCGGCCGTCTGCTACGTGAGTGCTCTGCATGCAGTGCTCTCTGCTCTTGATCTTTTCCTAACCTGGGTGTCCTGCTGCCACTTTTAAGCTGAACCAACACTGAACTCCTAATCTTCCTTCCCAAGATGGTTTTGGGTTTTGTGATTCCCCTTTTCTGTTTCTGGTATTCTTTTCTCTATATTGAGGTTTTAATTACTTATGAACTATCAAGTTCAGTTATTTTTTTACTTTTTAACTTTTCTTTCCTTATCTGCTCTTCTCTTCTCCTAATGCCATTGTATTAACTCAGACCTTCATTACCTCTTACCCACTGGCCAGAGGTTATAGTAAATTAGAAACTGATCAATTTGCTCTTAGTCTTTTCCTATCCAATCCATCCTGTACTGCTGCCAGATAAATCTTCATGTCCATCCTGCTCTCCTGCTTCAGGTCTTGTGATGAGCACCCACCATGTACAGAATGAAGCCCTCATGTGTTAGCCTCTCCTTTCAGACTCCTGGTGGCACTCCTCCCTCCTGTCCCCACGTCCCCGCCACAGCAGCTGTCCTGTCATTCCTGTGCTGTACCGCCATCCCTCCTCACCTGGAGCTTTTGCTTTCCCTGCTCTTTGCCTTTGGCCTAAAAAACTGATATCATCTAAGAAGTCTTTCCTGATCACTAGATGCGTCTGATGTTCCTGTGCATATGTCCCCATGGCACCCCGCACTCCCTCTTGTAACCCACCCTGTGCATGTTACTGCTTGTTCAACACGAACCTTCTCCACCAGTCTGTCAAACCCCCATTTGCCACTTTATACACACTAACGTGGGGCCTGGTGCTTGGCAGGCAAAGAACTGTTGAGTAAAAGAAGTAGGAAGGAATTACCCCAACTCAGTTGTTACTTTGATGCCAGAATCTCAGCTTTTGTAAGTTAGAATTAATCTCATTTGATTCCCATGAGATTTTATCTAAATGACTGAGAACCATTTGACTTAATACTTTATAGTGTGTAGCATTTTTTCACCCAGCTTCAGAATCTATTAATTTTAACTATGCATAAATTTCATGTATATAGGTGTATGTACATGTACAGGTAAATAAATACACACACACACACACACACACACACACACAAATATCCACCTCTTTAATGTGTTTATTCACATATACCCTGCCTAGCCTGAGGTTTTTACCTCCCGGTCCAGGCCCTACTTAATATGAACTGTAGTCTTGTGTATCGTGTAGTACTGTGCCCTCCTTGGGAGTACTTACTGTTGATGACAGAATTGGACAGTTTGTTCACAGTTGTCTCAAATTCATTTAAAACTGAAGAGTGAGAGTTTCAAGCTAATAGAATCTGTTTTGAATTCAGATGTTCAAATTAGGTTTAAAAAGTGGTACAGTGTTACTTTCCCATTCTTAATTTTTCTGTTTCTTTTTAAGTAAAGTAATAAAAGAGCTTTTAGTGCTTTTGACATTGTCAACATTTTACATGCCCAAGAAAGGCTTGTGTGAAGAATGTGGCCTTGTTTTCCTTCCCGTTTCCAAGTTCCTGCCTTATTTTCCTGTCTCCCAGGAAACAAATGTACTTGGATTTAAAGGTCCTAGGAAAATGTCTGTGATCATTCCAGGGATGAATATGAATCATCAACGGATCCCATTTCAGCCACGCAATGTAAGTAAGAACATACTTACTTAGCAAAGGATGCTAAACAACAGGAGTACAGTACAGACGAGGTCAAAACCAGAAAAGGATTGAGTCTTTGAGAATCCCAATCCAGAGTATGGTTCAGATCGTCCTTGAGGAGAGTGACCACTCCAGAAGCCCAGGGTAGGTGCAGGCCCAGAGTAGGTGCCAAAGTTGTTGATCCAAAGCCACTTAGTCTTCAAAGAGAAACGCCAGATGATCTATAAGCATTTAAAAACCTGGCTTAACTTTGGCTTTCCTTGTTTCTGTGTGACCCTTTCTGAAATGGAGAAATATTCCCCTATTCTATCTTTTACACTACAGAGTTGTGGATGAATGGCTTTTTATGGGCCTCACCACAAAGAAATAACTTTCCCTCCAAACAGGACCATGAGAGCTTGCTTTCAAAATGGCAAAACAAAACCATGGAGAACTTGATTGAACTGCACAACAAGGCCCCTGTCTGGAATGATGACACTCAGTCCTATGTCCTGAACTTCCATGGCCGGGTCACCCAGGCATCTGTGAAAAATTTTCAGATAGTCCACGAAAATGACCGTAAGCCTACAGGAAGGGTTGGATGGGAATGGGAGGAAAGATGTTGGTACATGATGGGGAATGAGCATTTCCTGTCATTGACAGGAAGTTATGTTCAGGAGAGAATTATTTAAGAAAGAAATGACTTCCTTGGAAAGACAGAACTACAGTCCTACAGGAAAACTTGTAAACCGCTGTGTTGAGAGGGCAGAACAATGTGGGATTTCCTGTGACCAGTCCGAGAAGTCTTAGGCTGTTTGGGAAGCAGATGCAAATGACCCTCACCCAGTAAAGGTTCCTTGGCACCTGTGGCCCCTGGAGCACATACCATCCCAAGCCACCTGCTCCTGCCTTTTCTCTCTTCTTGCCCTCTCACACTGTGCAGGCCAGGCTCCTGTTCTGCATGGTTGAGAGGAATGATAATAGCACCGCTGCTAATGGTCGGCAACATTACTATCCATGCCTCTTTCTGTCTGTCACAGAGTTCCCCATTTTAAAGAGACTGGTGATTGACCTATTTTGAGGACTTTTTTTCTGTATCTTAAATAGGGTTTCTCCCCTGGACTGTCACATTATCATCTAATGTCATAATTTCTTTCTGTTTCTAGCTGAATATATAGTCATGCAGTTCGGACGTGTGGCAGATGATGTGTTCACACTGGACTACAACTACCCACTGTGTGCACTCCAAGCCTTTGCCATCGGGCTTTCTAGCTTTGACAGCAAGTTGGCATGTGAATGAGACAAGCAAGCCCCGGGCTCCTCACTGCAGGGCTTGCAGGGCAGAGATGCTTCCCTTGCTCCTGTCCCGGGACATGAAGAGCAACAGCCTGCCCCTTTGGGAGTGATCCCTGAGGGTCTGTCTGTATATGTGTATCTACACGTGTGTATGTGTGCACACATATGTATATGTGCATGTATATATACATATGTGTGTATATGTGTACACACATACACACCCCACTTCTCTGGGGCTCACAGACCTGGTCAGGAATCACAGATTATCATGGGTGAGAGACTGTTCAGAGGGCAGAGAGGTTCTTGTCCAGAGCACATCGGTGACTCCTGCGGTTTTTGCCTTGCAGATTCAGTGCCTTGGGTCAGATTTCCTATGCCTGGAACCGTGCAGCTAGAATCAGGTTCTAATGATTAAAGACTTGGGTCTCTTTTCTTGAAGACCTTTTCAGAGAGGGACAGTTCCCTAAATGGCCTTTAGTCTCTAGGTCTGTGAACTTCCCCTTTAAATGGCCAAATAGTCTCTCTCACAACTGCTCTGTTGTGCAAAGGCAGTCATGGCCAATTCATGGAAGAATGCACATGTCTGTGTTCCAGTGAGATTTTATTTACAAAAACAGGCAGCTGGCCAGCTCTGCCTGGGGCCATAGTGTTCCGACCCCTGCTTCAGCTGCGTCTCTGTAATCTCTAGGCTTGGGCATCTTCCAAACTGGGCCTATGGTCAGGAGACTGGATGAGAGGGAAGCCGCTGTCTCTAGGAAGCAGCAGCCCTACGGGGTGGGTCCAGAGAGGTCCTGGGCTACATCCACATACCTTACCCTGTTTTGATGATGGTTTCTGGGGCATCATTTACCATCAGAACTGAGAAAACTCAGAGCCAGTGAGCATTTTGAGTCCACACAGGTGGTTAATTCTGCTGCCCTGCCCAGCCTGCCCAGGGGAGGAGGCGGTGTCAGCCACTTGACCCAGCCTCAGAGAAGAGCCCATACCCACTAGGAAATGAATCGAGAATTGTGTTGTCTTTATCAGAGGGGGGGTGGCATTTGTCTCTTAGCACCAGCTTGTCTCCACGGGGGGCTTGGAAAGTCCTGACTGTCACTGCCCCTCTTCCCTTCCCTCCCGTGGAGCAGGTTGGCTGGCTTCACTGAAGACTCTATGGCCAAATTAACGATCAGTGATGTGAGAATTTATATAATTGTCTAAATTCAGTGTAGGCTGAAAGCATAAACCCTGGAGGTGACTTAGTCTAGTTAAGACTGGGAGTTGACAGTTGCCTTCATTTTCAACCCGAGTGCCTCCCACAGTTACACTACTGTGGAGCCATGGGGAGGGACCCACACATCTGTAGACCACGTATGAGGTGAGAGAACATACGTCGAAGCCTGTTGTTGTTTTCAGGAGAGGTGGTGGGAGAGGCTGTGGGGAAGACAGCCGGCTGACTTTGGGCTCTGCAGACCTTGTTGGGCAGAGCTTCAGGCCTTTCTTCTGAACATAAATATCAGTTCCCCACAGCCTCGTTCACTGGTACAGATCGTGCCCTGTTGCTTTTCTTCACAGATCGTAAGATTTTTGCCAAGTGTTTGAGATAATTAGCACCTCCCGACAAGTCATATGACTCTGCTTGTTACCAGCTCACCAGCCTCAGAGTGCAGCTGAATCTTGACAGTCCAGGAACTTAGTGAGTTCTCTGTTCGTGTTGTTATCCCGAGCCTTGTTTGCCGAGCCATTTGGCAGCATGGAGCCAGGAGTCCACGGTGGCCCTTCCTCTGCATTTCCCCTCCGTGCACATCCTCTGTGTCCCTGCCTCCAGTCCCTTGCTGCTCATCAAACAGCAATGTGAAGGAAAGAGACCCAGGAGGTGAGAAGACTTCACTCCTCCCCTTGGCAAGTCCCATCTGTGTTGTTCATCAGGCAAGCTGCCCATCAAGTGCCTCGTTCCTAGAAGTGCCCCAGAACCCTCCAGGCCTTGGCACCTGTCCTCATGTAAGGACGGCTCCACCCTGGCTGACAACAGAAAGCCGTCCACTCCTCTGCAGCCGGGCTGTGTGACAACACCTGGGGATGGGAAGCCTGGTGGGAGGCCTGGCCCACCCTGCTTCCTGCTCACTGTGGCTCAAAGACATACATATACCCCAGCTTCATGTACTTTTTCTGCTTGAGTATGCAGATGATTGGTTTTACATAAATCATATTTATACCTTTTGTATACTACAGAAATAAAAGATAATTTATGTAAAAATGCGAGTGTCACCATTCCTTGCAGTCTCACCCCTCAGAGTTCCTACTGGCATAATCTCCATCACTTGGCAACCGTGAACTAATCAGTTCTTTGCAGCCGAGTATCACCATAAGCTTTCGTCCCAGGGGAGCAGGACCTGGAGACTTCCAAGTCTATTTCAGACTGTCCAGACTCACCACACAGATGACACCAGGACGTTCCTCGGCAGATGATGGAGCCAAAATCTGATGGAGCCGAACATAGCGGGGGCCACGGAAGGATAGGGTTTATATTCTGGACGCTGCATGGGTCAGCCTTCTGGATTTTTGTTGCTGGCATTGCTTACTGACTGAGCAGCAAAACCGTTATATAACCAATAGCCATATAGCCTACCTCCTGCCTCTGAAGGGTTTACATTTTTTTTTTTTGAGAGGGCATCTCTCATATTTATTGGTCAAATGGTTGTTAACAACAATAAAATTCAGTATAGGGGGGTCAATGCTCAATGTACAATCATTAATCCATCTCAAGCCTCATTCTCGTCAGTCTCCAATCTTCTGAAGCATAACGAACAAGTTCTTACATGGTGAACGAATTCTTACATAGTGAATAAATTCTTACATGGTGAACAGTACAAGGGCATTCATCACAGAAACTTTCGGTTTTGATCATGCATTATGACCTATAAACAATCAGGTCAAATATGAATATTCGTTTGATTTTTGTACTTGATTTATATGTTGATCCCACATTTCTCCTATTATTATTATTATTTTTATTTTTAATAAAATGCTGAAGTGGTAGGTAGATGCAAGATAAAGGTAGAAAACATAGTTTAGTGCTGTAAGAAGGCAAATGTAGATGATCAGATGATCAGGTGTGTGCCTATGGACTAAGTATTAATCCAGGCTAGACAAGGGCAGCAAGACATCCACGGATGCAGAAGATTTCTCTCAAAGCAGGGGGGGTGAGGTTCTGAGCCTCACCTCTGTTGATCCCCAAATTCTCACCTGATGGCCCCCCTGCGACTGTGCCTGTCTTAGGTTGTTCCTCCCTTGAGGAATCTTATGAAGGGTTTACATTTTAAAGCTACCTTACAGAGGCAAGTTGGAAAAACGTATATACAAGGCTTCCTGCTCTTATGTCATAGTGATAGCAAGTCCCATGGAAAGAACCTGGAAGAACCTAAACATCAGGATGAAAGCTGGAGTCAGGGTTCAGTTCTTTCAGCTTGAGGTTTCTTTTCAGAGTGTTCTTTTTGGCTGAGGCTCCTGGAGGCTAAACAGATCATTTGTGGCACAGTTTTGTATACTTTGCAGTAACCAGAAATAATGTCCATGGTCTTGATATGAAAGGTGCCAGCAAATTTTACTTAAAAACCTAAAAGGCCTGAAAAAAGCTGTTTAATCAGAAGTTTGTAATTACAAAAGAAACAAACTAGCCCTAGTTCGCATCCTTTATTTAGACAGTATCAAAGGTGCAGAAATAAAGCCACAGCTTGACGGAGACCAAATCCTGGACTGTGGCCCTTTTTTTAACCAATGACTTGCCATGTGCCTCTTTCCTCAGCGATTGGTTGAGAGGTTTTGAACTACATGAACTTGTTTTTGAATTAACCAGCCCCTCCACTCCTGCTGGCAACGACCTGGAATCCCTCTGAATGTGTCCGGCTCTCTGGTTGCCTCCTGGACAGTATCCTGCCATTCACAGCTGAAGGGGCTGCTGGGAAGCGTGGTGACAGAGACCTCAGGGAAAGACTGACAATTAAACTAAGGAACTAGGGAAGTAGATTCTGGGATGGCGGGAATGCACGACAGGGAATATCTGATCTTGTGCTGAGGGAGCACAGGCCCATGGAGCTGCTTTCCCCCAACCACCGGCACCCACTCGCTCTGCAGAGAGAACTGTGGGCTGCACCAAGGTGCCTTCCCTAAGCCTCCAGCTCCCCCCTCCAGACAGAATGGCTCCTGCCACGTACTCATGCCACATATCTCATATCTGCTGCTCTCCAACCCGCGGGCCTCTTAAACATCCCTCTGTGCACCTCAGTGAGGGCCTTGCCAAGGACTGGAGAGCTTCTGGCCCACCACTTGGGACACATTTCTTAACCAAATATTACATGTTGGATTGTTTTGCCTTCTCTTGCTGCTTTGGCCCCTAGTTATCATAGTCAATATATGTTCTTTAAAAGGCTCACCATCTTTATCAACCAACACAGACTCTTCCCTCACAAAAACCTAATGATTTGCATTGGTGCTGTGAGAACTAGGCAGGCCCTAACTAAACCAGATGGTCTCATGGCACCACCTGCTGACCAAGGATGCACATTGCAAATACATTAAGCGAGCGCAGCACAGTTTCTGTGATCCCGAGGAGGAAGTCAATCAGAGTCCTGTACCTGCAATGCACCTTCTATGGCATGACTCTCTTCTGATGGTCTGAGAACAGCAGTATTTCTGGAATTTAGGAACCAGCTAAGGTATTCCAGGTAAAATGCTCAGGAGCTGGCACGCTTAGTACAGGATAGGACAAATACCATCACTTATATTAATGTCCTTTTAAAATGTAACAATGCATTTCAGTTGCCTTCTTTAGCCATGCAGTTATGCAAAATGGTTTAAAAATGCTCATAAAGAAATTTTATGTTTTTTCCAAGGACTATCATGAGAAGAAAGTAAAGCAATATGGTTTAACTGGGTAGCTAATCATCCAGGTTCTAGTCTGAGTCCTCACCCTACATCCCAGTCCTTACCTTGTACCCATCTCTCCATTTTTACTTGAGGGAACGGCCTAGGCAAACAATAGCCTGGATGCTAATGGAACATTATGAAGCATTTCAAATATGAAGTGGACCTCCATGATTCTCTCTGGCTCTGCCCAGCCTTTGGGCCCATCAGGCCCACCCTCCTTTGCACGCTGCCTTCCAGGACTGTGTGGCGCAGGATTCGGAGCACGAGAAAAGAGAGGGAGCTCCCTCGGTTTCCCCAGCATCACGGCATGTGCCACTGGTGCTGCCCCTCGCCATGTCTTTTCCCTGGACTTTCAGAATCAAGCGATTCCTTTCCAAGAAACAAAAGCAGAATCGTCCCATTCCCCAGTGGATTCGAATGAAAACTGGTAACAACATCCAGTACAACTCTAAGAGGAGGCCCTGGGGAAGAACCACACTGGGTCTATAAGGAATAATACGAGATGGCACGTACATTTATGCTGTATCAAAGTCACATGCTCTCATCTCACTCTAAGTATAGCTATTATCTGGGTAGTTGGGTGGGTTTTCGTGGGGAAATGATTTTTTTTTGTTTCTGTGCCTCTGCACTAGTCTGTTGATTCAGTAATATGTGAAACCTTTTGCTTTAAAAAAAGAAAAAAAGCAGACCACATAGAGAGTGGGGCCTGCAGGGGCCAAGGTGGCGGTGGGGCTTTTCCTGGTCTGTTACCACCTTTTGTTACACATTTTGTTTCCTATAGTGGTTCTAGTTAGGTACCATCTACCCAAATTCTGTCTCTTATTATGCTTTTCAGGGACTCCAAGAATAACCCAATAGTTGTCTTTCTTCTTTAGTCTGGGATTAGGAAGGCTGGAAAGGAAGAACAGCCTGAGAGGAAAGGAGAGGGGTGGGCAGAGGGGGGCTGGGGATTAGATGGTTTTAAAAATGGACCTAAAGGCAGTTCTAGGGAATACATGCACACTCAGGACAAACTACGTCCATATAAGGTAGAAATGACCTTGAAAAGTATGTCCTGATTTTGCCTTTGGTCAGTTTTATGCAGTTGAATGTTAGCTATACAGATAGATAAAAAGTTTAAAACAGTAACAATTTCATATGGTTTAAACTTTTTACAGCAGTTAAAGCCTCCTCCTATGTCTGCCCCTTCCTGTTTCCCTCGCCCTGTCCTACCCCTGTAGTTAACCACTGTTTCTTTCCAGTTCATCTTTTTATGTTTCTTTATGCACAAATAGAAACTTACTTTTAATTTCCCACCCTTTGCGCACAAATGGAGCATACTGTATTCTTGGTTAGGTTGCTTGGTTTTTTTCACATAATATATCCTGGGGATCTTCTCATATTAATAAATACAATCCTTCGTACTTGCTTATGCACCACATTTCATTGCAGGAAGTGCTATGGTGTGTTTATCCCTTTATACATGGATGATTGGCACAGTAAGAAATTTTATCAGCATGCTTTGAGCATGTGCCATGTTCCAGGACCCCGTGTTGTTTACTTCAGTGCTCTTCATAGTCAGTCAATTCCCACGATGTCACACCTCCACACTCAGGGTCTCCCCAGCCCTGAATTCTTCCCTTAGTTCTGCAAGTGTTCCTTAACTGCCTGGCTTTCCTCTGTTTATCCTTCGTGCCCACCAAGCACGACCTCGCCCGTGTTCAACAAACGTGGAGTGAAAAGTGAGGGATGAGGAAGTCGAGGCTTATCATGCAAGCACACCCAAGGTCACAATCAGTACATGGCGAAGCTGTCACTTGAACCCAGATGCATAACTCCCCAGTAAGGTCATAACGCATGCCTATGTTAACTTCCATTTTGAAAACAATGTATCAGAAAAACTGAAAATGAAAAACTTGACTGAATAAGCCTGGATAATGCCTTTCTTCCCTTTTGATTTTTTTCTAGGAAGTTCCTGGATATCTGATCCTCAAGATCCTCTGGGAACCTCTGAGAAACTCTCAACCTTGGGCAGAGAAGGCTCCAGAAAGCAAAGGTTTTGTTTCAGCCTGGAAATCTACTGTGTTACTTTGCCGGGGCTGCCCTGGGCAGACTAGGTGACTTAAACAGAAATTTATTTCTCACCTGTCTGGAAGCTGGAAGTCCAGGATCAAGGTGTCGTAAGGGTTGGTTTCTCCTGAGGCTTCTGTCCTAGGCTTGCAGAGGGGGCCTTCTTGTGTCTGCACATAGTCTTTCCTCTGTGCAAATCTGTGTCCTAATCTCCTCTTCTTATAGGGACACCAATCAGATCGGATTAGGGTCCCCTCGTTTTAATCACTTCTGTAAGAAATTATCTCCAAATCCAGCCACATTCTAGGGCCCTGGGGGTTAGGACTTCAACATGTGAATTTGAGGTAGGGGCACAATTCCACCCACAGCATATACTGTTCCCTGGACAGTAGACAGAGAGTCTATTCTCCTTTATGTTTCTCTTTGATGAAGAGATACTAGAACTAATATTATGCTTATCAAATTACATACTACTTTTATTTGATAGAGGAAAAAATAAAGACTCCAAACAATTTTGATATAGGTCTGTTTAGTCCCTAAAACACAAGACGCAGTTCAGTTGGTAAGGACCAGAGAGTCTTCTTACAGAAAAGCAAACGGAAAGAGAGTATGGGGAGGTTTGAAAAGAAATAACCTGAGTCACGGCTGAGCACAACCACAGCGGGAGTCAGCACAGAGGGCTTTTGAAAGTAGGGTGGGCATGCTCTGCGGAGATCTCAAGGAACAGGATTCACCTTTTCCCTAAAGGTTAGGAAGCAATCTTTCCTTGACTGTGTCCTTGTCAGCTGCTTATGAGGCTATCACATCCAATTGTGGGTATTTTTTTAAAGATGTGGACAAATTAGGGAAGGGTTAGATATATACTTCCAGTCACATTTTTCTCCTCTGATTATAAAAGAAGTAGTTTGTTATAGAAAATAAAAGAGAATAAAAATGAGAAAATAAAGATATCCCCTTAATCTCCAACCTGTCAGAGATAATTACTCTAAAGTACTTTTCCATTTATTTTTTCAGAAACAGAGTCATCCTGTATATACTGTTTTTAGAATCTGCTTTTCCACTTACGCACATTTGGTTTATTAAAAAATGTCTTGTTACTAGTTACTGTGAAGAATCCCATCACATAGGTGTGCTTGAATTTGTTTAACACAGTATCATATGGATAATTTAACTATGACCATGTGGTTGGAAAAACAAAATTTATTAAAGGGATGGAAATAATACCAAACAACATCTGATATAATAATTAATTTAACTTTTGACTGTGAATTTGAACTACAGACAACACAAACACCTTCCCACATCAAAACTGGCCCTGACCCTGCCTTGCCCTTTCTGGACCTTTCCCCATCAAGCTCGCCTGAGGATCCATTTGTAGGACTAGGTATTGGTCTGCATCATAGCAAGTGGGGTGAGTTGTGGATTATGTGGTATATTTTGAGGGGAACCATATGCATCTCTTCTAGCTTGATCCAGACAGATGAATTATTTCCACGAATAGATTCATGCCTGAGGGGCAGAGAATGAGAGTCTTTACCTCTTCAGAATTCCTATGTCTAAGAACTTTCCTCTACCCAGAGGGGCTTCAGCAGTTTAGGAATGTAAGATTCCTGGAGGACAATGATCTCTGGATCCTGTGAGGGGTGGGCCGGGGGCTGAAGTTCTGAAGCCGCACCATTCCAGCGGTGGTCATTTATGGTCTTGGGTAGTTAAAATTTGGGAGAATAAGCAGTCCGATCTGCAAACCTCTCCTTAAAGGCTGCCTCCTGTCTCCCCTCTGGACTCTCTCCTGTCCTCCTCTCAATCCTCTGAACCTGGCAGGACTCACCTTCCAGCTAACGTATTCCTCCTCGTGTTCGAATTCCTACCTTGGTTACTGGTACCACCAATAGTTTCGTTGTCAAAGTGATTGGTGTCCTTCCACCCTACAGCCTGGTCACCGATTCCTGTTCATTTTGCCTTGGGACTATTTCCTAGACCCTCTGTTTCATCCTCAACCTCTGCACAGTGTCTTGAATTTAGGGTACCCTGATTCTCCAATCTGGTCCCAATACTGTTGCCAGAGGGGTCTTTCTGATGGTGGGACTGATTAGGTCATACAGGTGTCTAATGGGCCTTTCTGAGGCCCAAACTCTTCAGCAGGGGGGTACAATGACCTTCACGAGCTGATATCCACTTACTGTAATCTGTTCTCTCCATCTCCTATTCTCCAGCCTCATCATGTTACAAGACTTTTCCTAAACACTCCTGTGCACAGGTTGCCATACCTTTGTGGGTCTTCAGGCCCAATATGGTAAACTCATCTATCTTTGGAGAACTAGATCAAATGTCACCTCTGTGACTTGGATTTCATTGTTTCTTCCCTTGGGTTCCCACTCAACTTTGTATAATTGTCTGTCTTCCCACCTAGATTGTGAACTTCCTGAGGGCAGGGCCCTACCCCTGCACTTAGCATGGTGCTCCAAGTCAATAGGCACTCAACAAATTTTGTTCCATAAAATAGTGGTGCTTAGTTTGTGCTTCATGTGGTGCCCATACACTGCCCTGGACTGCAGTCTTTTCATGTGTATGAGGTGTGACCAAGTCCCGAGGTGACTCATTACTTAACAAGCATACCCAAATTTATACATCCAAATGACAGCTGCTTCCTTCCATCTTTACCTTGTGAGATGGGATACTTGGTTCTGAGCTGCTGTCATTGCTCAAAACACCTTTGGGAAACCTCTCTTGGAAACAACTTTGGCATTTACAGAACTTTTCTTTTCAATAGCCTCTGTGGTAGCAGTTTTTTTCATTATTCAACATATATTATGTACTTATCTAGCCCAGGCACCACACTGGTGCTGGGTGAAAGATAAGATAAATGGGACATTTACTGTCTCCAAGCAGTTTCTGTTTGGTGAGAGAGATAAGATGTAGATAAACAGCTGCAATACAAGGTTAAGCGATAATGCGCCATAGAGGTTGGATTTGATTTTTGGGAAAAGCCAAAAAGGCCTTTGCCTTAAATCTCCCAACAAGGTGGATGACAGGGCATGTGATAACACACTGCTTTAAGCCACTGTGTTCTGAAGACTTCCTAACTGGAGCGCAATGCGTTTCTAGCACCCTCTCCCCCAACAAGAGATTACACTCATCTGGCGTGTTTGTTTAAACTCAGACGCCCCCTTTATGGCAATGCTCCTCTGTAAGCGAATCTTCGCAGCTAACTGACCAGCTCTTTGAGGGCAGGTCTTATCCTTCGGGATTTTTTCACAGCATCTGGTGACACATACGTTGGATGAATACTCATTGGGTTCCTGAGCTCAGAAGGCGTCTTATGCTGTGCTACAGGGACTTCACGTGAGTGTCCTTTCCACGTGAGCGTTACTTGTGGTGACAGCTCTGCAGATACGCAGGGGACACGAGCGGAGACTGACAGGGGCGTCCCGCCGCGGATGGCACGGGTGGGGGAACTGGCGGCAGACCTGGGACGAGAGCGCGGGAGCTCCTGCCTCCTGGCTCCCGGGCAAGTGTCCTTTCTGGGAAGCGTCAGAGCAGCCCTTCCTGAGCGCTGGGCGCCCGCGCCCTTCCCCGCCTTTAGGGGACTTGTGCGCAGGGATGCCGGCCGGCGTCCGAGAGCCGGGGTCCCGCGGGACACCCCGCGCGGGACGAGGAGGGCACAGGGCTTGGGGCGGGAGGAAGAGTCGGGCCGAGACCGAAGTGCGTGTGCGGGAGGGCGGCAAGGCGCATCCGGAGACTGCGGGCCCGGCCGAGGGTCTGGGCGGCCGGGGCCGCCGGGGGCCCCCGCCCCTCCCGCCGCTCGCCCCGCCCCCGGCCCACAGCCCGCTCCCCGCCGGCGCCCCAGTCTCCTCCCCGAGGTCGGTGGCAGGGCCGCCACTCCCTCCCGCGCCCTCCTCCGCCGCGCGCATCTCATTCCAGCCCTCATTCCGCGCATTCCAGGCTGCCTCCCTCCGTGCTCGAGGCCGGGGTGGGGAGGCCGCCACTCCCGCCGCAGCCCGCGCCGCGTCCCCGTCCGCAGGTGAGTCCCGCCCGCCCGGCTTCCCGCGCCCCGCCCGGCTCCCCGCGGCGCGCCCCCCGACCCCTCGCGCGTCCCCTCCCTTCCGCCCCCCACCCGGGCCGTCCCCGGGCCGCCTTCCTCTCTCCCGTTGACTCACGCCTCCAGGAATAGGGAGCTCCTGTGCTTTCCCGGCAGCCCCATTCCGGGAAAACCCCTCCCTCCGCGCGCCCGCTGCGCCCGCTCGGCGCGCCGGGCCCCTGCGACGGGGACTCGTGCGGCCGGGGGGCTGGGCCCCGGCCCGCGGCCCCGCCTCCTCCCCTCCCCGCGGGGCCGCCTGGCCGAGCCCGCGCTGCCCGCCGACCCCCGCCGTCCCTGCAGTGCCACCAGCGGCCTCCCGGGACCCTAGCGGAGCGGCGGCTGCGAGAGCGCGCTGGGCGCTGGGGCGGACTCGCGGGACAGGGCGTAGCGCACCCCTAGCCCCGCACCCTGGGACCGTCAGGCTGCGACGCGACCGGCGCGGGGAGTTGGTAGGATCGGCAGCCGGCGGGCGTCCGGGCGGCGCGGGAGGACCTGTCCACGGGGGCGGTTTTAGGGAGGGCGTGCGGAAGCGATGCGCACCGCGGGGTCGGAGCGGGACCCGAGGGCCTTGGGAAAGGGGCCGAGAAGCCCAAAGAACCAGAAGCAGCACCGAGAGCACCGGCGATACCAGAGCCCCAGCACCCCTGCCCCTTTCCTGACGGGCCCTTCTTCGGCTTGGAAGAGAGAGCCCTGGAGGGAGTTGTATTGGCTGCTTTCAGTGCTAAGGCTTTGCAAAAGTGAAGGGGACCCCTAGGTAACGCCCTGCTCCCAGGCACTGGGAAGCCTGTTGCGTTCCGTGGTGGGGACGAGTGGATCTGGGGGGGAGGAGAACTCCCAATCCGAAAGCGCACGTTTTCCAGATCACAGCCTCCGTGCACATGTGTGCACAGGGGGTTCCGGAATGATGAGTTCCTATGGCCGGCCGACTGTCCCCCTTCCTAGCTCTGGGTATAATGAGGGTGATATCTGTTCACACATGACTCACCTTGGCTGCCAGTAGGCGTATATGTTTTTGTTGAACCTATTTCCACTTGAGAAGAGTGTTGTCGGTCTGAAAGTATCTCTGAGTGTTTGTGCGATGCCAGATCTCAGAGTGTGTATTTGTGAGCATGTTTTTTCTGAGCATGGCTCTTTTTCCTTCCTGTATAACCATGGGCAAGAGACAGTGTCTCTGGGTGTATGTGTGCAGGGGCAATTCAGCTGTGGTTGTCGGAGTGTGTGGACACCCCAGGCTCCCCTGGCCCTGGACTGACTGGGCGGAGCTGGAAGAAAGCTGCCTACACCTGCCTCTCCCAGGCAGCTGTCTTTCTGAGGAAGAGTGTGTTCAATTCTTGCCGGGAACAGTCTAGAGAACAAGCTGGTAGGAGGCTAAAGAAAGTTGAGATTTTTGTCTTTTGTGATGGGGCAGTTGTTCATGGAGTTGGGGGTATGAGTGGGGGTGGAACCCCTAGAAAAAGGAGACCATTTGGATCTTGGGAGTTGTGTAGACAGTGCTTTTAAAGTTGGCTCCAAGGACAAAAGGGAATGGATGTATGCCAGTCTGGCTACCTTCTGCTGGCCCAGCTCTCCTTGGAGCTGCGCAGGCAGTCAAATGGAAGAATCCTTCATTCATTGCAATTTGCCTGACCACTGGACACTTTCCTTTGGGGAGGGGAGCGAGCAGCTTGTTTCATGAATGCTGTGCATCCGCCTGGGTGGAAGGACCGCTTCTGATTTGCTAGTTGACCTGTTGGAAGACCCTTCTGGGTGTCGCAGTTTCCTCCATCTCTTCCTTTCTGCTTTGCTGTTTTCTTTCCATTTAGGGTTTTCCCATTTGAAACATTTCAGAGGAGGGAAGTGGGTAGGAAGGGAGTCACTGTGTCCAGATTGGCAGAGGTGACATGGCATGTGATGGTAGTGGTAGGGGGACATTGGCAGGCTTGCCATAAGTTTTCTTCATGTTGTGGGCATAATGTTTAGGGCTTCTTGGAAGGAAGGAGCAAGACACTCTCAGAGGGGTGGGATCTCATTGCTGTGCCTTCATGCAGAAGCCACCTCACCCTCTTGCCTGCTTAGGCCAGTCTGGCCTCCAGGCAGCAAGGACCATGCAGAGAGGGTACAGACCCACCTGGCTGCAAATCCCAACTGTTGCTCACTGCTTTTCCAGCTCTCAGGCTCAGTTTTCTGATAAGTGGGAGGGGGGTTAATTAATATATGTCCAAAGAGTTTGCTGTGAGAATTCGGTGTTTGCTAAGTGCCTAGCACAGAGCATGGCACATCCCAGAGAGTCAATAGCCAGGGTTCCCTAAGTGTTTTTCAGCATGGAACCTCTTTTTTCCCAGGAACTTCTCTGAACACCCTTTGACAAACACCGCCCTGTTCATTTATTTTATTTAGCAAAGGTGAATTGAACATTTTCTGAGACCAGGCCCTGCTCCCTGTTCTTCATCCTTAGGAACCAGGGTAGCTAGTGGCCCAGGTGGAAGTGGAGGCAGGGCGTTGTCCCTGGGAAGCTCAGGGTCTCTGGCAGCCCTGTTCTAACTCCAGTTTTGCCTTGACCTCATGGTGAACTTGCCAAGTGTTATTGGAGGCTCTCACACTGGCACTAACTCCCTCATTGTAAAGAGGAAGCCCTTAGTGGGACAGTAATTTGCTTAAGATCGCACAGTGAGTCCCATTGGGCAGGGACCAGAATCCATGATTTTTGCTTTACATTCTGTCTTCTCCTGCTCTGGATCCCAGTGCTCAGCCCCTCAGCCACCTTCATCTAACAGGCGTGGAGGCTGGAACAGTCCAACCTGGGTGATACCTCCCATCTTGTGGCTCAGGTAAGGTTGTTAGGAGGCAGAAATACTCACCTTAATTCCACCACACAGCCCAGAACTGTGGAATCTGAGAATACCACCACCGAGAGGGGCCCCTACGAGGTCTTTAAATGCACGCTCCTTTCACGGCTGGTCTCTATACTACTCAACCCCGTGGAGAAGGGTCTCCCTAGCTTTCTAGATCTTCTGGGATGCAAATGGCACAGCCTCTTCTGGCTTCCATTCTGGAGTCTTGTGCTGGTGACTGTCATGGAGCAATACATGTGGCCTGTGGCTCCTCACCTCCTTTCCACGGAGGTGGAGAGCATAGTTGCTAGTGTTGCCCTGTTGTCTTTCCCATAGCTGAGGTCAGTCCTGGGGCAGTGGAAAACTCAGGGCTTGCGAGGGTGGCTTTACCTTGCCTGTCTTCTTTGCCCCCCATGACCCTTTGCTGGCAGGGGCTGAACCAACAGCTCCCTTTAAAGCTCTGAAATTGGAGCTGAGCAGCTGCTCTCCCGTCCCCTCCCTGCCCCTGGGGGTTTAGGCCGCTCTGGGGCCCAGGTGGAGGTGGGGGCAATGCCCTGTCCCTGGGCAGCTCAGTCTCCAGCGCCTGTGTTCCCATCCCAGCTTTGCCTTGACCTCTTCTGAAATGACAGCTCTTCACTAGCTTTTGGTTTTTCCATTTAGATATTAGGGAGATTCTAATCACCTCCCCTGTGATAAGGTCCTGGAACCGTTGGCTGGTAGCGACTGGCTCTTTGGGACCGTGTCCACTACAGCTCTAGTCCCCAGGGTGGGTCCCCACAGCCTCCTGACTTTAAGGCAGGCAGGCTCCCTGGAGTGTGGGCAGCTCACAGCAGTGCTAAGGTTAGGCGGGCCCCCCTAGGTGGGGACTGGCTTCCTTTGACCCAAACTTCGCGGGAACAATGGACTTCAGAGGAGTCACCAGGGGCAGGAAATGGGAGCTGTGCTAAGGCAGGGTGACCCTCCTGGGGGATGGGATTGCATATCCGGCCTAAAGGAAAGGCAGGGTGTTTGGGGCAGTGCAAAGGGCACTGGGGAGGGGCTGATGACACATAGGGTGGGCCTCTCCTTCTAAGGGGCTGTTGACTCAGAGTGAAACCTGAGCTGCTTAGGGCCGGTCATTTGGCAGAAGATGTCTTACCAGCAAAGGTGTCATGGTGTCTGCCAGCTCCTGCCAAGCTCACCCCTGCCAGAACTGTGTCTCCCCTTCCCTCTAAGCCCCTGAGATGCCTGTGGGAATCATCCTGGCCTGGATGAAAGGCTAGTTTTGTTTCTTCCTGGCTCATCTCCATCTTGGCGTTGAGCCTTGAGCAATAGTTGACTGGGGAGGCGATTTGTGTGGAGGGCAGAGGTCTGGGTGGGAAGGCAACAGGCCCAGGGCAGCTGGACAGCAATGAGGGATTGTTTTCTGCCACTGTCAGAGTAAGAAGACAACCAGGACAGGCATGGGGAGATTCCTGCTCAAAGCAGGTAGTGGAATGTTCTGGGAGGCAGAGCACTCTTATCTGCCTTCATCTTTATAAGGGGAGAGCAGGTTCTGTGACAGCCGAGGCGGGCTTTGGGAGAAGTGACAGTGAGTCCACACTGAGTTGCTTTTCATAAGTTCAGGTTGCCAGATTCATAGAGATCAGGTTTTGGGGTCCTGAGGGAAGCTGCAGGAGGACCACAGCATAGCTCTAGGATCTGGGAGGGGCCCTGACACCGGCAGGAGGGGAGGTAAGCCTGGCAGGACAAGAAGGATCTTCAGTGTGGCAAGAGGGGGTCCTGGGGATGGCAGCTGGCCAGCTTATTGGTCCCTTGACTTATTCCAGATAAGATATTTGAGCAAACGATCTGTGTCACTCTACCAAGTCTTGGAAGAATGATCTGATTTTTGGGTAGATGAATACCTAATGATTTTCTTGGGTTCCAGAGAAATCTGTATTCTGGCTGGTACAGTAGTAAGATGGATTTATAACTCGTTGAAAGGCCGTCCTGGGTACTGATACTGAGCTCCTGTGCCCTTGGCAGGGGTGGGGAGAGCGAGTGGGGGAACCTATCTAGTGATAGGCCGCAGAGCTCTCTTTTGGGTTTTGTCCTCTCTCCATTCTGTGGGTGTTTAGGATAGCAAGCATACTGGATGACAGACCAGAATTC